ATTGGACCCGGTGTCACACCATATTCTGTGACCTGCAACAGTGCATGCAACACCGCCCCCTACAGTCACAATATACGGTGGTCACAGAATATGGTGTAACACCGGTTCACAACGAGCTCCAAACAGTCAGGAAGTTGATTCATGTCCTGTTTCCTTACGGCAGCTGAACCAGAAGATTCATCTTTAGTGAAATATTTCCAGACTGTTGATGCAGTTCTACCTGTTTGTAAAGACTGGACCTGCTCCGCTCCGTCTGTCTGCTGGGAGGAATCCATTTAGTAACCTGCGCCCGGTGTGGATCACGTGACACGTGACACAATGACATCACCACGAATACTCAACGTGAAATTAAAAACTCGATAGATGTCCTAGGAATCGATGTGTAGATTACTGGAGTAGTCTGTTAAAGCCCTACTAGCATGTAGCATGCTAACGGCTAATGCTAACATGCTAACCAAGTTTGTAACTTCAAGGAACATCTCACCCCCCCCCCCCCCCCCCCCCCAAAAAAAAAAAAAAAGAAAGCAACATCCAGCAGACCTCAAACGCTGCTCTGAACCCTTGGATCGATGCTTGACATCGTGGGGGTTCGTTTTAAATAATTGTAATTTTATAAATCAATAGTTTTCAATAAGGCAGCGGTCCCCAGACAGCTGCCCACAGTTCTCTTGACTTGGTCTCCAGGTCTGCTCAAGAGAACAAGAAGTGTGTTTTCTGTCAGCCAGAGGCGACGTCACATCTGCTGCCCAGCTCGAGCCCTGGCTTGATCAGCTGAAAGGCTCCGTGCTTCTACAGCACTCTGTCCACACAAAACACGTCAGCACACACGCTTCATACACATCGATCCTGATAAGTGAACGAGTCAGAGACTTGTCCCACACACCACACGTGGTACATGAGGTGGGACGAAACTGTGCACAGGGTCCCAGGTGCATCCAACAAATACACAAGCTGTAAAGAAAACATGAGTACGATCCGAGTGGAGAACTAAGAATACTCTGAGAACTAATGGTACAAAAACGATGTGCCAAAACAACAGCAGCACGAACATGAGTCTGTGTGAGCAGACGAGGACCAATGAACACAGCAACATGAAATAATCAGCAGCATGAGATCAGCAGCATGGATAGTCAGCAGCATGTATCAACAACCAAGTGACATTACAGCCATTTCACAGTTTTTGTTTTGTTCACAGAGATTCTCCTGGTTAGAGATTCATGAGTCCAACAGCCTCAGGGTAGAAGCTGTTCCTCAGCCTAACATCTGTGACCTTTCCCATCTTCCATCATTTAGGTTTTAGCTAGCCTTTTGCTACATTTAGCTTCTATGTAATTTTTAACTTCTTCAAGTCCTCGAGTCCTTCAGGCTCAGCGTTGTCACTGCATTTTTCTGAGTTTGGACACTGAGACGCAGTGAGACGCTCCTGAACCTGATGGACGAGGTTGTTCTGTCCGTCTCAGCAGAACGCCGGTCCATTTTGTCTTTGTGTGCTGTGAACTGTCCCGCTCAGCGTCAGTGTGTGGAGTATGCCTTGAAGGCCCAGCCTCTCAAACTGTACATCCCAAAGAATCCGGTCCAGTACAAGTTCTGGTACATCATCAACTCGACAGGATTTGAGTATGTGATGTTTGTCCTGATCCTGCTCAACACTGTCACCCTGGCTGTTCAGGTCGGTAACCTTCCAGTTCTGCGTTCTGTTGGACTGAACCAAGCCTGAGTGGTTTCTCCTCTGTCCCACAGCACTACGAACAGTCCAAAACCTTCAGTGACATCATGGACATCCTCAACATGGTCTTCACTGGACTCTTCACGGTGGAGATGCTCCTCAAGCTGCTGGCTCTCAGACTCCGGGTCAGAAAGCCGGTCCCATCTGAAAAATGCTGCCTGTTTTGAAACACAGTCATTCATCTTCCTTCCTGCTTGTCTTCAGCACTACTTTGTGGATGCTTGGAACTCTTTTGATGCTCTCATCGTGGTCGGCAGCGTGGTGGACATCGTGGTCACCGAGTTCAGCGTGAGTATCAGACAGCGCCAGTGTTTCTGAGACAAGAACTGGGCCAGGCAGTAAAATGGTGATCAGGACCTTCAGGGTTAAAATGACCTCATCATGAACCTGTGGGACCATCAGAACTTTCTGCTGCTCACAGGTCAAAAAGTTCTTCTAGTTTTCACAGACTGTTTGTCTGAGTCTTAGTTTTTAACGTGACTCAGCAGACTCTGTCTTTAAATTACCCAGCATGATTCCTTCCTCCTCTGTCTCCATCATGGCCCCCCCTACCGATCCTTCATGTGGTCTCTGATCGGACCTCTGATGTTCAGGAGGATTCAGTGACAGGGTCGGCAGAAACAGGAAGAGGACTGTGAATAATAAAAGTTAAGCACTAGATATCTTGATCGTCACTGGAGGTTATGTGACGTGCGTAAGGCAGCACGCAACATAGACGTTTTGCTTTCTATTAAAAGTACATGTTCCCAGCACGCAGTTCCACCTTTGTTTTCTTCTAAAATCGAGAACACGACGTGGTGTGTTGCTGGGGAGGAGACACTCCTTTGCTCCGTCTGGCGTGGATACAAAGGGGAAAGACGAGCAACAGCAATTTGTAAGATGTCTAATGTTGGAAAAGAGGAGCAGGCGAGGGCCGGAGCTACATGTAGCGTTGCGGCTAACACTCCCAGCACTACGTTTAGTGTGCAGCTGCCGGAGCCGTTACACTGTTCTCAGGAACAGGGACGGACTAAATGGATCCGTTGCTTCGAGAGGTTCCGCCAGGCCAGAAGCTGTCACCGAGTTCAGATGAAAACCAGGTGAACACCCTGACATACCACATGGGACACGCAGTCAGGTCTACTATTTACAGAGCACATTTAAAGCAGAACCTGTTATCAAAGTGCCGAACAACAACAACAACAACAACAACAACAACAACAACAA